ATATATATATATATGTCTAGATAAGGTCAACCTGGAAAAAAAAAACACATCTAATTTGTGTCTTAGGGTTATTTCTTTGAGTTAGATTATGCATTTTAGTGTGTATGTGAACATGTGTTTAAAATATGATGAATTTTATCTTATTTTTTATGTTATTCATAAATTAGTGCTTCTATGTAGTATTGTAGTGCGATGTATAAAAAATTATTTCAAACATAAATTATATCAATTTCTAGCTATTTGTTAAATATGTTTTGACCACTTATAATATATGAGTTATATTAAATTATATTGTGTAGTGTTGATGATTTATGTTAGATATGACTCATATACTAGAAAAATGACAGGTGCTGGAGCGAAGCGGAGCTAGCGAGTGCTGCGGGGCGGAAATATCTGTCCAATCGGGGTAGTGCCGTTAAGTGGGTTTAGGGGATGTGGAAGCAACGCTCCCAATACATTATAATTTTGTAACTACATATTGTACACTAGGGTTATAAATAAATAAATAAATAAATAAATAAATAAATATAAAAATCTTTGTAATTACATATTGTGCACTAGAGTTATATATATATATATATATATATATATATTGTATTTGTAACCCTAATGGGTTGTATTCTTTTCAAGAAATTAAAAAGCTGTCGCCGCTCATTGCTCCCAATGACGTAGGCATATTGCCGAACCTCGTTAAATCTTTGTATTATTTCTTGATTGTCATTTTGATTATTGCATTTCTTTGCCCTAATTTCTCAACAATTTAATACTATGTAATGACAAGGTAGAAACAAGTTTTATTTTTTAGTGCGGGCAAAATAATTAAATGTCTAATTTTCTAAATATTGAGTAATAAAATATATCAAGGGAGGGGAGAATTGCTAAATTGTTTAAACAACATTTAAAAAAAAGTAAATTTTATCATTTATGTAGAGAAATTGCAAAACAAACGATGAGGGCAATCCGTGGACATGATCTGTTTCCATCCCAACAGCACACATAAATACAACGATTTAATAGTTGAAAAATAACATGTTTTACGTTGATAAATAATGAAGTTTCAAATGCCATTCATGTAATTTTCTCTAGTACAAATAACATGCAACAATAAATACTTCCATCTCTATGACATTAATCCAACAATAAAAAAATTAAGATAATAATATGCATTAGTGTTGCCTAATGAGCCTAGGGGTGAAGCGGAGCCGAACACGAGCGAGCCTAGGTTCAGCTCGTGTTCGGCTCGTTTATATTTCGAGCTTAAAAAGTGTGTTCGCGTTCGACTCGTTTGCTTAGAGAGCCGAACACGAGTTATTCACGAACAAAGAGTCGTTTTGACAACCCTAATTACATAGCCATAAGATGTTACCATAAGATGTTAAGGATGTTAAGGATTTGAGCAAGATTTAAAACATCATTTGAATCTAATTTAATAATTTTTATTTTATCTTCTTCATTAATATTTTTAATTAATTATAATCTTTGTAGCCTTGTAGTCAATTAAGTTTTTAAAAAATACTACTCATCAAAGGCATGTATATATATAATTGATTATTAGTATTTCGAGTCAAAACGAGCCAAGCACGAACGGACAAATATTGGTTCGTGTTCGACTTGTTAACTTAGCGAACAAGCCGAACACATGCTATTCCAAAAACGTGCCGTTTTGACAGCCGGAAACGAGACTCATCTGATCCAATACGGGCCGCACTTAATAAGGCTTGGCAAGCTTCATATGGCAGCCCACAGACCACCGAGGATCTGCCGCACAAACAACCCTTATACAGGTGGGGGCGACGGCCGAAGAAAGACACACAAAAATGGCGGGAAATTGCTCATCCTTCCTCCTACCTTAGAACTGCAGATGTATTTCTATCTCCTCCCCATTTATTCAGGCGAAGATCTACGCTTTCTGCATCCAAGTCATGCTTGCAGTCGACGCCCTAGAAATCCTAGGGCAGATCGAAGTCCTCGTCATCGATAAGCTTCAAGTGGTAAGGAATTTCTTGCTATCTTTTCCGCTTCCTTTCTCCATATCCGTTGAAGGAGATAGCCTATTCATGCATTTCTAGTTAAAGATACCGATTTAATTGTGTTTTGAGAGAAACTTCAACTGGATAATAAGTTTTAGCTGTATCTCTGATTTATGATTCATGGATATTTGAGGCTTGTAGGTATCGTATAAATGGCTCAGTCGAAACTTCTCCATATCATCAAATCAGGCCAAAAAGTAAGATTTTCTTATTCTATATTATAAACGTGTTTAGTCATGCGTGTCTAATGAAATTTCATTCAATCTTTTATAGGTTGCTTCAAGAGTTTGTTGACAAACATGACACCAAGGTGGAAGTGTTATATTCGTTGGCTGGATGGTCGAAGAGCAATCATGAAACATACTGTGTAAAACTTGCTTCTGGGCAGAAGCTTGCAGGTACAATACTGCCATTCAAATTCAGGAACTGTGCTATTCATGTTTACCAGTTTTGTTTGTTATCACCAAATTAATCTCCCCATTTGATTTTATGTTTTTGTATTACCTATCTGGAATATTTATTTCAACATTTTGATTGAAGGATTTTGTCTTTTGCTAAGTGATCAGTTTTTTGAAAGATTTATCTCTTGGATTAGAAGCATTCTATCAAATCCATCAGTTGTAGAATTTTTAATTTTACCCCTTTAAATGTGATGTCCCTAAAGTCTCAATTTTTGTCAGTATGACTAAAAGAACACATGGTGTTCCCGTCAAGTACATTGAATTTCCTGTAATTCTTCTTTTTTTTTTTCATTTTTAAACATTAAGTTGTTAATGCTAGCGAAGTCAGTGTTTGGCCTGGTATCTTTCTCAAAAATCGTCTAGACAGCTATATTTGTTGCAAGCTGTACATAAAAAAAAAGAAAAAACCATGGTAAAGAGTGCTCAACATGACTCGTAAGCATTCAGAAGTAATTGAATTGGTCAAAGAAAGAATACATCAACAACAACAAAGCCTTAGTCCCGCTATGTGAGGTCGACTACATGAATTCTTTTTCTCCATTGCGTCCTGTATAGTGTCATATTTTCATTTAGTTCTAGTAAATTAAGATCATTTTTTTATACAATAAGCCCAAGTCTTCCTAGGTTTGCCCCTGCCTTTCTTAACACAAGTCGAATCTAAAACATCTACTCTCCTAATCAGATCATCAGATGGTCAACGTTTAATGTAACCAAACCATCTAAGACGACTTTCTCTAATTTTGTCCGTCACAGGAGCTACACCAACCCTATCACAGATATATTCATTTTGCATTTTGTATGTAAGTTTAAAGCCACTCATCCACCAAAACAATCTCATCTCGACAACACT